CATTGGGGCGCCTGGAAGACGCAATCGCTCTTGCACGCGGGGCAAGCAAATCCCCGGCTACCGCGCAAATCCGCGCGCGGGGGACAGCGCGACAGACGCGCAACTTGGCCGGGCTCGTGCGGGATGCGCTCCTGGACTCAGTCGCGGCGGATGCTTTCGCGGTCGCCGGACAAGTTTGCCTCCGCTTCGCCTCGGAGGTGGTGTTTCTGGGGGGCGACGAGCACCGCTCGAAAGCCATGGTCTTCGGCGGTGACCTCCCTCGGGCGACCGTGCACTTGCTCTTCTGGAAAACGCGTGCGGATTCCACTTATGGTGTCGAGGCGGTGCATCTGTGACTTGCAATCTTGGCAATTGTGCGGCATGTGGGTCCTCAGCAGCAGGGCTGAGTCTGGCCGGCCGTTCCACGCGCTGTCGTGCAGGGCAGACCTGGCCGCGCAGACGGCGGCCGCGTTGGCACTTCGCTTCGAACGGGCGGCCGAGTGGGGCTCTGCCAACAAGCACTACTGTGGGGAAGGTCTTGGGCAAGGTATGGATGTGGTTTCTCTGCAGCGGCTGTTGAGGCGCCTGGAACAGTTACCGCGTGGGCGCCGTCTGTCCGAGCTTCTGTCCACGGTCGTGGCTGGGGGCTCCTGGCCAAGGCTCCGTCGAGCAGAAGCTTCAGCGAAAGTCCAAGTATGCGCACTGTGCCCAAGATGCAGGAAACGTAATGAGTCACCTTTTCATCGGATATGGGAGTGCGATCGTAATGTGAGCCACCCTATTTATGCTAAGACGGATGAGTTGTATATGGCCGCGATGACCCAGCACGAGTCGGCTCCAGCTTACTGGCTCAGATGGGGCCATGCCAGCATCCTGGACGGTGGTGCCCGAGCCGCCTGACGAAGAGGCTTGCTTCTGCACTGGCCTCAATGATGGAGTCGACGACGGAGTTCTGGGCCCAGGCGAATGCGACAAACCCGTGTTGTTGTTTGGAGACGCCAGTGGCGGTCAGGACTCAGCAGATGTACGGTTCCGTCGTGATGGGCTCGGCCTGACGATGATGGAGAGTGAGACGAATATGAACTCGCAGGTCAACCTCTTTGGCGCGCTTCCAGGTGTGGTCCAAACTGTACCCAGAGGTGAGCTGTATATTTTTTGGGTGGCCTTGAGAATCACTACAAAAATACGTGACATATGTGACGGACAATAAGATGGTACACGACGGATGGTGGTCCCAGAAGTATCTTTCTCCTTCTGGAGAACATTCAGAGTTGTGGGCCAATATTGGGTTGTTGTTTCGAGGCACCTCTCGGCGACCTGAGCACGTGACGGTGTTGTTCACCAACTCCCATCTTGAAGCTGAGGATGTCGTGGTACGCCGAGCGGGCTCAGGCTGGATGGCGGCAGGCAACGCTGCCGCCGATGTTCTGGCAGGGGGAGGCGCGGCAGTGGCGCGAATCCCTGAGCCCGTGCGTGCCGATATCTTGGAGAAGGAACGTGTGCTGTACCTCATCCGCATGAGGATCATCAGGTCCCACATCGACGCGATGGAGGCCGAGAGGCTGCTGCAGCCGAGCGACGGCCAGACTGGTCGGCACCCGAGGCGAGGAGCTCGGGGAGCCAGGGTCGTGGAAGGGAACAGTGAGTGTGCTTCTGCTGCTGCTGGCCCTCCTCCTGACCCCCCTCCCCCCCTCCGCCCCCTAGCCTTGATGTGCTGACTGCTTTTGAGACGGGCCACGCTCTGTCTGACTGTGGCCGACGCTGTCTCAGGTGTCGCGGGTCCGCGTCGGCTGCTCGCGTTCAGGTGTGGCGTAGGTCTCCGTGTTTCAGGTTAGTTGCCATTGATAGCTCCCTTCGTGCACTTCCTGAGGGGGCCACCATTCACATTGCTGGGGGGTTCGTGGACCCCTCCCACTGTATGAGATTTCACGCTGTTTTGATGATTTGGTTTTGTGCGAGCTGTGGGATGTATGGGGGCCAGCAACTTTGCAGCCTTAGGAGGACCTGCGTCCCCCGCCCCACTGCGACGAGGAGAGAATACCTCCGCTTGATTAGCCTGGGGCAATGGCCCAAGGTCTACCATAAGTATGAATTAGCTCGTAAATCCCAGAAGAGGTGTAATTGATTGTTGGGAGGGCTACGTCCAGGGACTCCAACTCCAACTCCAACTCCAACTCCTCCTCCTCCTCCTCCTCCTCCTCCTCCCTCCTCCATGCGTTTCACCCACCCAATGCAACGTTTCGGGGGCCCATAGGGAGCTCCACCGAAACCCCCAGTGGGACCGCCCGCATGCGTCAGCCACCACCCAGCACAGCGTTTCCTGGCCCCATAAAAAAGGGGGCTCCACCGAAGGCCCCAGTGGGGCCGCCCGCTTGCGTCAGCCACCACCCAGTACAACGTTTCGTGGGCGCACACGGGGGCTCCACCGAAGGTCTCAGTGGGACCGCCCGCATGCGTCAGCCACCAACAAGTACAACGTTTCGGGGGCCCATAGGGGGCTCCCCCGAAGGCCCCAGTGGCACCGCCCGCATGCGTCAGCCACCACCCAGTACAGCGTTTCGTTGCCCCCATCGGGAGCTCCTCCGAATGTCCCAGTGGGACCGCCCGCATGCGTCAGCCACCACCCAGCACAGCGTTTCGTGGGCGCATAAAGGGGGCTCCACCAAAAAGGCTGCAGTGGTACCGCCCGCATGCGTCAGCCATCGCCCAGTACAGAGTTTCGTGGCCCCCATACGGAGCTCCACCGAAGGTCCCAGTGAGACCGCCCGCATGCGTCAGCCACCACCCAGTACAGCGTTTCGTGGCCCAACGGGGAGCTCCACCGAAGGCCCCAGTTGCACTGTCCGCGTGCGTCAGCCACCACCCAGCACAACGCTTCGTTGCCCAACAAGGAGCTCCACCGAAGGTCCCAGTGGGACCGCCCGCATGCGTCAGCCACCACCTAGTACAGCGTTTCGTGGCCCCATAGGGGGCTCCACCGAAGGCCCCAGTGACACCGCCCGCATGCGTCAGCCACCACCCAGTATAACGTTTCGGGGGCCCAGTGGGAGCTCCACCGACGGCCCCAGTGGGACCTCCCGCATGCGTCAACCACCACCCACTACAGCGTTCCGTGGCCCCATAGGGAACTCCATCGAAGGTCCCACTGGGACCGCCCACATGCGTCAGCCACCACCCAATATAGCGTTCCGTGGTCCAATAGGGAGCTCCACCGAAGGCGCCGCCCGCATGCGTCAACCAACACCCAGCACAACGTTTCGTGTGCGCATAGGGAGCTCCACCGAAGCACCCAGTGGCACCGCCCGCATGCGTCAGCCACCACCAAGCACAGAGTTTCGTGGCCCCATAAATGGGGCTCCACCGAAGGCCCCAGTGGGACCGCCCGCATGCGTCAGCCACCACCCAGTACAACGTTTCGGGGGCCCATAGGGGGCTCCACCGAAGGCCCCAGTGGGACCGCCAGCATGCGTCAGCCACCACCCAGCACAACGCTTCGTGGCCCCATTTGGAACTCCACCGATGGTGCCAGTGGGACCTCCCGCATGCGTCAGCCACCACCCAGCACAACGCTTCGTGGCCCCATGTGGAACTCCACCGATGGTCCTAATGGGACCGCCCGCATGCGTCAGCCACCACCCAGTACAGCGTTTCGTGGGCGCATAAAGGGGGCTCCACCAAAAAGGCCCCAGTGGTACCGCCCGCATGCGTCAGCCATCGCCCAGTACAGAGTTTCGTGGCCCCCATACGGAGCTCCACCGAAGGTCCCAGTGAGACCGCCCGCATGCGTCAGCCACCACCCAGTACAGCGTTTCGTTGCCCAACGGGGAGCTCCACCGAAGGCCCCAGTTGGACTGTCCGCGTGCGTCAGCCACCACCCAGCACAACGCTTCGTTGCCCAACAAGGAGCTCCACCGAAGGTCCCAGTGGGACCGCCCGCATGCGTCAGCCACCACCCAATACAGCGTTTCGTGGCCTCGTAGGGAGCTCTGGTGGCCCGCCCGCATGCGGCCTCCCACGCAGTACAGCTTTCCTGAAGGCCCCAGTGGCGGTCCCCGTGGGACCTTCGGTGGGGCTTCTTTGATGGGGCCACGGAGCGCTGTGCTGGGTGGTGGCTGACGCATGCGGGCGGTGCCACTGGGGCCTTCGGTGGAGCCCCCTCTGGGGCCACGAAACGCTGTGCTGGGTGGTGGCTGACGCATGCGGGCGGTGCCACTGGGTGCTTCGGTGGAGCTTCTTATGGGGCCACGAAGCGCTGTACTGGGTGGGTGAAATGCAGGGAGGGGGAGGAGGGGGAGGAGGGGAGGAGGAAGGAGGCGGGAGGAGGAGGAGGAGGAGGAGGAGGAGGAGGAGGAGGAGGAGGAGGAGGAGGAGGAGGAGGGGAGGAGGAGGAGGAGGAGGAGGAGAACGCGGGGCGCCGTCTTTTCAAAACGAGGACCCATCACCACAGGATGGTTGGGAAAGATTGAGCCTGCCCCCTGACTCCTTAATACAGGGATCCTTACTGAGAGATCCTTTCTAAAAACATCTTTAACACAGACAACTCACTGAAAAGATCCTTGCCACGGGCTCCTCATTGGAGAGGTCCCTACTAACGAATACTCACTAAACGGCATCCTCATTAAGGATCCCCAAACGAAAAGAGAAACTGGCACAATATCCCTTGATAACACAAATCATTGCGAATGACACACCACTACAAAAATATAAACTGAACTTCTCTCGCTACCGGAATGTTCACTAAAACCCCATGCTAATTTCGCAAGGTGGGGATTTGGCCCCTGAACCGTGACGACCTCCTGCACGAAACTTGGGCGACGGAACCATGACGGAATCATGACGGGAGCTTGAATAATCGTCTATGGGGCTCAGTGGTTGTGACGACACTTAGGCCCTCTAGCGATACGCTAATTGCAATGAGCGTAAAATGTGTTTTCTGCAATGCGTGCATCAACGTGTCCATGCATGCATACGTCGAACGTGCGCACGTCAATCTCCACACTTCCAAATGGCTGGCTCATCGCCTCGAAGTCGACCGTGTTGTCTGCCAGCGCCAGGCGGCACAAGAAAGCTTGACCTCAGAGGGGCCCTCGCGTGATAAAGGCGATGGCAATGGCAACGACTGGGCCAGGAGAGCTCTGGATGGATGGCTGGCGGCAGAACTTTCGGCAAACTGACCGTCCATCTCTTCATGTACCAAATTGCACAGTCAAGGGTCCACGAGTAATTCTGACAAAATGTACCTCGGGGATCGCACGGGCTAGGATGAAACCGATCTGCGTATACAAGAGCGTGTTTCTTTGCTTATTTTTGGCGATAATGAGCGTTTTGGGGGCGGGTGTAGCTGCGGGGGTGTAATGTAACGCCCCCCACCCCGCCTTGTGGCTCCGGCACAACAGCCGCGCCCGCGCGCAAGACGACGATGAGCGACGAGCGACGAGCGACGAGCGACGACGACGACGACGCGACCAGCATGTAGGTGGCGACCTGCCCACAGCGCCTGTCTACACCACAATGCTCGCATGCACCACAGCGCGCGTGTACACCACAGTGCCTGCGTACACCGCAACAGCAGTGTGCGACGCAGCGCCTGTGTACACACAGTGCCTGCGTGCACCTCAGCGCCGGTGTACACTACAGCGAATGTGTAACACCGCAGCAACCATGTGCAACACAGCGTGTGTGTACACCACAATGCCTGCGTGCACCGCAGCGTCTGTGCACACCACAGCGCCTGTCTACACCACAATGCTCGCGTGCACCACAGCGCGCGTGTACACCACAGTGCCTGCGTACACCGCAACAGCCGTGTGCGACGCAGCGCTTGTGTACACCACAGTGCCTGCGTGCACCACAGCGCTGGTGTGCACCACAGCGAATGTGTAACACCGCAGCAACCATGTGCAACGCAGCGCCTGTGTACACCACAATGCTTGTGTGCGCCGCAGCGCCTGCGCACACCACAGCGTTTGTCTACGCCACAGCATCCGCGTGCACGCAGCGCCAGTGTACGGTGTACACCACAGTGCCTGCGTGCACAGGACAGGTAGAACGAGCATGCAGGTGAGGATCTGCTGCGGACAGTTAAACGCCACGACAGAGAAGTGCTGATAATGTAATGCGACGTTCTTCCCTACTCCCTCCTCCGCCACCTCCACCTCCACCTCCTCCTCATCCTCTTTCTCCTCCTCCTCCTGCCTATGCGGATCCCCATGATATTCCCAATGCGGACCAAGCTCCTATGCGGACTTCTACGCGGACGCCGATGAAGATCCGGATGCGCACGGCGGCAGTGCCTGGAGCGCACTGGGGGGGAGGGGCGTTACGTTATAGGGGGGGAGGATCGGGGGCTACAATGCCACGCTCTCACTAGCCACTGCCACGCATACTTACAATCTGTCACCAATGCGTTGCCAATACATCGCTCACCGAACACTGAGCACCTTCAAACCAAAACTCTGCGTTCTCTCACTCGGGCACGAACGCTCTACCACAATACCCTGAGGAGAGATTTGCGTTGTCCGTGAGGCTTGTAACACTCTCTTCATGTATATATATAAATGTATATACATATGTATGTTGTATGTATATAGCAGACTCCGTCAGAGCCGATCAGGGGCCAGCGATGCCGACGCCTACTCGACGCATCTTGGGATCGCTGGTGTCTTCAACCCTGCTGGCATCCCCAAGGACAAAGACGGGCATGAGGTCCGTGCCACATCCAAGACAATTTTCAAAACACGGTTGGCCCCCCTTCGCGCCATCAGTCTGGCTCGTGCTCAGGAGGAGAAAGAGGAAGAGAAGGAGGAGACCCAAACCTGTGGCAGCAGTCCTCGCATCTAAACGTACTCTGGTTTCGTGACGTGCGTGCGTGCGTGCGTGCGCGCGCGCGTGTGGGTGGGTGTGCACGTGGGGCAGGTCATACTTATCGGACGTATCGATTATCTCGTGAGCTTCCCGCGTGTCGCAAGACCAGCACCGATGGAAACAGGTCCCTGTGCTGTCCCGAAGCGTGCGCAGACGAACGAGATAGGCTGTTTGGCTCGAGCAGATCGCCGCTCTCAGGGCCGTGCTGCCCCCGCTGCCGCAGACAAAAAAATAGACTGGCGAAGGACCCAACCATATGCAATTGTGAGCATCGTTGTTGTATGCACCGCATTCGGAGGAGCCCCCTATAGGGCCACGAAACGTGGGAGGGGTGTGCTAAAATTTGTCCGATGAGCGCATGTGAAAGCAGCCACTGGGGCCGTCGGTGGAATTCCCCATGGGGCCACGAAACGCGTGAGAGGTGTGCCGAGATAGGTGCGGTGGGCGCATGCGAACGCAACCATTGGGGTCGTCGGTGGAGCTTCCTATGGTGCCGCGAAGCGTGTGATGGGTGTGTCGCAATATGTGCGGTGGGCGCATGCGAACGCAGCTGCTGGCGCCTTCGGTGGAGCTCCCTATGGGGCCTTCGGTGGAGCTCCCTACGGGGCCACGAAACGTGTGAGGGGTGTGCCGAAATGGGTGTGCGCGACGCATGCGGGCGATGGCACTTGAGCCTTCGGAGGAGCCCCCTGTGGGGCCACGAAACGTGTGAGAGGTGTGTCGAAGTGGGTGTGCGTGACGCATGCGGGCGGTGGCACTGAGGCCTTCGGTGGAGCTCCCTGTGGGGCCACGAAATGTGTGAAGGGTGTGCCGCAATGGGTGTGCCTGACGCATGCGGGCGGTGGCACTGGGGCCTTCGGTGGAGCTCCCTATGGGGCCACGAAGAGTGTGAAGGCTGTGCCGAAATGGGTGTGCGTGACGCATGCGGGCGGTGGCACTGGGGCCCTCCGGTGGAGCTTCCTGTGAGGCCACGAAACGTGTGAGGGGTGTGCTGACATGGGTGTAAGTGACGCATGCGGGCGGTGGCATTGGGGCCTTCGGTGATGCTCCCTGAGGGGCCACGAACTGTGTGAGGGGTGTGCCGACATGGGTGTAAGTGACGCATGCGGGCGGTGGCACTGGTGCCTTCGGTGGAGCACCCTGTGGGGCCACGAAACGTATGAGGGGTGTGCCGAGTGGGTGTGCGTGACGCGTGCGGGCGGTGGCACTGGGGCCTTCGGTGGAACCCTGTGGGGCCACGCAACGTGTGAGGGGTGTGCCGAAATTGGTGTGCGTGATGCATGCGGACGGTGGCACTGGGCTTCGGTGGAGCCCCCTTAGGGGGCCACGAAACGTGTAAGGGGTGTGCCGAAATGGGTGTGCGTGACGCATGCGGGCGGTGCAGGGAGGAGGGCAGGAGGAAGGAAAGACAGAAGGAAAGAGGGAACGCGGGGACCGTCTCTTCAAAACGACGACCCAACACCACAGGATGGTTGGGAAAACCAATCGGATGCCGTCGGGTCCCGCCTCAAGCTGTCTCAGACGTGCCCGATGCGATCAACCGAAAACTCCATCTTGCATAGCTCCCCCGTCACAGTGATCTGCGGCCTCCCACTACAGTCGCTGCATAGTGTGGATGGGGAATGTGTTCGGGAGGGAAAAGCAGGATGAGTGGGGGTGATGATGATGACGACGATGATGGTGTGGAGGAGGAGGAGGAGGAAGACCAGTGTAAACCCAAGAGTCATCAATGATGTTGGAATTAACCCTCCCTCCAAGCTCCCTCTTCATAAGCCCCTACAACGGTTCATTTCCAAGTAACTGCCTCGTTGGAAGGCAACCGTTTGAAGATCCTGAAACATGCCGAAACATTGTTCTCGGGATGTCAACGCCACGTATCAACCTGACTGCTGCGTTTTGGCGATCCGGAATCGTGTCATAACGTCTTTGATTTCAACACCGCGAATCAACATAACTGTTACACCCGCGTAATCCCGAATCCTTCCAGAACGCCATTTTTGGAACGTTGATCATGGGAATCCGTGAAACTTTTGATTTTTTTGCAACGAATGTGCGCGGCTCTAAGGCGAGAACCACATTTTGAAAAGGAACCATCCGGAATCCGTAAAATTCTTGCAAACTTTGAAAAGGAATGTGCGCGGCGCTAAGGCGAGAGCCACATTTTGAAAACCACCCGCCCTCATCCCGTGGACCACTTACAATTTTTCACAAAGAATGTACGCGGCGCTGAGGCGAGAGCCACATTTTGAAAACCACCCGCCCTCAATCCGTGATGCTCTTGCAAATTTTGAAAACCAATGTGCGCGGCGCTAAGGCGAGAACCACATTTGGAAAACGACCCACCCTCAATCCGTGAAGCTCTTGCAATGTTGTACAAATAATGTGCGCGGCGCTAAGGCGCGAACCACATTTTGAAAACGACCAGCCTTCAATCCGTGATGCTCTTGCATTTTTTACAAACAATGTGCGCGGCGCTGAGGCGAGAGCCACATTTTGAAACCACCCGCCCTCAATCCGTGAAACTCTTGCAAATGTTGAACACGAATGTGCGCGGCGCTGAGGCGAGAACCACATTTTGAAAACCACCTGCCCTCCATCTGTGAAGCTGTTGTCATTGTTTAAGCTTCGCAATCATAAGTGGTGAGGAAATCTAAGGCGAAACGCCCGGCCCGCCCTAAAAACTGATAAGGAGGAGGAATGGAGGAGGAGGAGGAGGAGGAGGAGGAGGAGGAGGAGGAAAAGGGATGAGGAGAAGAAGGACGAGGAGGAGGAGGAAGAAGAGGAGGAGGAGGAGGAGGAGGAGGAGGAGGCCAGTGCAGGACGACGGTGGCGCCGATGACGAGGATGAAAAAGAAGGACAAATAACAGCAGGAGGGGGAGGATGACACTGCTCAGGAGAAGCGGGGTGATGAGCAAGAACGTCAAGAGGACAGAAGGGCGGAGCGCGAGGGAGGATAGGGCTGCCCCTTCACGCGCCAAATTCTTCGAGGTTCAATGCCCAGGAAATGACTAGCATTCGAATGTGTGGCTTTCTATTAGAAGTCGCACGGGCTCGAGCTTTGTATAGCATGTGAATGCACTCGGGGCCAAAACGTTTCAACGTCCTGTGGGGGAGTTAAAAGTGCTAAGTCATACATCGTGCGCCAGCGTACATGGCTTGGGGCGAGGTGACATGACTGTGAGCGAGCAGCAAGCACTCCTTGGCCGTCC